AAAAATCTAATGTTGATTAAAATTAAACTTTACTTACTTAAAGAAACTATTCTAAATTGAATTTATTAAAATCATCAAATCCCATAATTAAGAGATTACAATTGAAGTGACCTTGAGAGTTTGAAAATCATCTCTGGGCTTTCTCAAAACCACACTTGAACTAACCTCATGTTTGGATAGTGGTAAACGATAGTCAATTAATGTATGGTACTTCACGAGTATAATAAAATCTTGTTTGTTTCAACTTCTAACTTGATGAGATGGTAACAAACGGTATTCGACTGATACATTTTGAATGAATTTTAAAAACCATCAAATCAGTCGTATGTGACAGGCAAATAATTATATTTCTCGTTATACCATCATAAAATATGTTTAATTCCCATTATACCCTCTTAAATAAATGATTCTTTCAATTACTTTTTTATTTTTTGAAATAATTTTAGATTTAATATAATAATATATAATTACAACTATTTACTTTTAATATATAAATAATTTTATTTTTTTAAAAATTAAATTAATGTGATAATATAAATAATAATAATTTATTTTATCAAATATAAAAATTTAATTTAATTATGTATAATAATTATTTATTCAAATACAAATTTAATTATATTCTTATATAATTTATTTTTTTATTACGTACTTTTTATATACCATTTATTATTACATATAATAAAATAGGGGTAAATTAGTAATTTGATTGAAAATACAAACATATCATCCTATTATTCAAACAAAACAACTGTCATTAACATATATTAATATACAATCATTCAAATATAAAAAAAAAAAAATTATCATTCTCATTATGTGTTATTGGCATCTAATTACTGTTTTTGTCATATATTAATTATTTATCCAAATAGGGTATAAAAGACTTACATGACTAAATAAAGGCCTAATGCAACCTAAGGCCCAACAAATTTTCAAAGCCTTTAGTCAAAAGTTTTAGGTCAAATTCAATTGTGGTGGCGGACTTAAATTAAATACCACATGCCCAAATATGATCCGAATTGCCTAAAAGGCCCAAGTCAAATAATATTTGATAATTACTGGTCCTGAAGAGTCTTGGTAATTAAAGAAACTAACCAACTCAAACTAAATGTTCATTTAATACTAAATGAATTGGACCAAAATGGATATCACCCGTAATAAAACTCAAATTAAATTAAAGCAAAACAAAATTACCCGGAAGTAATTATAGAATTTAAAGTTTAGTTTGAATTAAGCGAAATGGCCGTTGGAGTCCAAAATTAAACATAAATTAAATTAATATGTTCAAAAGATAATAATCACACGGTTGTCTTTAGAGCTTAAATCTGGTCTAAATCCCATATCCTTAATCCATTTTGGATTTTGAATTGGACTAAGATGGATTATTATACACCTACGGCAAAGTTCAAATTGAAGTAAAATGACTCCAAGACCAAATCAAAACCATGGAACTTAAAATCCAAAACAAACATAAATTACATGGAACTAAGGTATCCCAACATATTATCAGGTCTAAAATCCAATGCCCCAAAATTTTCTCCTTTATTTTTGTCCTATCCACCAGTAATCTACAAACCTAAAAAGAGATCATCCATCAATCCTAAAAACCAAATTCACGTTGAACATAAACGACCTCAATTTCCATAACATTTAAACCTAAAGTTTCCAAGTATCAACCAACAAAAAATCAAAGTTGTATCGCATAGGTGTAATTACAAGTGTGTTTGTTGTTCTCTTTTGAAAGTTTTGTATAAAATGTTTCACAAGGAGATTGCTGACTAAAATAAATATTATTTTTGTAGAAGTTATTCGTTGGAAGTAGAATGAAAAGCTTTCCGCCATTTGTTCCTCCACTAAACTTAAAAATAATAAACCAAAAATCCCTACTTGATTGATGCTGATTGTCCTAAAAAACCATAAGGAATAGAAAACAAGTTGTATAAGCTCATTAACAAACGACTCTGTGTTTAATGAGTTCATCCTGAAAGACAGACTGAATCTCTTCCAAGGTCTTCCCTTTTGTCTCTGGCAAATACAAGTAGAAGAAAACCGTCCCAATTGCCATCACCCCTGAAAGCAGAAAGAAAGTTCCGGCAAATGTGATGTGCTCTGAAACGCTCAGAAATGTCATGGCTACAATCCCACTCACCACCCTGTTTACTGATATTGCCAGGCTCGAACCTTGAGCTCTCAGTCTCGTCGGGAATATCTCCGCCGAGTACACCCACGTGATGGGTCCAAGCCCAACTGAGAAGAAAGATAGAAAGGCGCAAACTGACACCACAGACACCGTGATGGCCCATGTGGGATTGTCGTCCGACATAGAGAGATATCTTGAGCCTAACCCGAGGGTTGCTAACGACACGGTCACACCGGCTGTGCCCACCAGCAAGAGTTGTCGCCTTCCAAGATGATCCAAGAAGAGAGCAGAGATCAACACAAACACCGTCTTCGATAGCCCCATGATCACCGTCACGCCCACCAGGTGTTTGGTGTTGTGAATGCCAGCGTCTCTCAGCACTTCAGGGGTGTAGTAGACTACGGCGTCGTTTCCTGAAGCTTGCATGAAGAAGTTGATGCCGATCGCCAAGATTAGGATTCTGCGGACTGCCGGAGACGGCTTCAAAAGAAGCTCTTTCCACACCCCTTCACCCCGGAAGATTTCGCCGGAGGGACATGTTTGTTCCGCAGCTTTTTCTATTTCGATCAACCTGAGTTCAGCTTCTTCCTCTGTTTCAGACGTTTTTACTATCACCTGTTTGGCTTCCTGGTGGCGGCATTTCATGACAAGCCAACGAGGGGATTCCGGCATCGCCATCACCCCAATGGCGACAACAATTGCAGGGAACCCTGCTAAGCCTAACATTATCCTCCAGTTCACGTTCGCTGGAAGACCCGAAAGTGCGTAGTTGCAGATGTAACCGAGAAGAATTCCCATGGTGATGAAGATCTCCGGAAACGACGACAGCAAGCCACGAGAAATAGCAGGAGAGAGCTCGGCCACGTAAACGGGACCTATCATCAGCGAGTAGCCAACTCCGATGCCTGCAACTACTCTTCCGGCCATGAGGAACGAAAACGAGGGCGCGAAGCCCATCAGGATTGCGCCCACCAGGAACGTTGCAGCGGCGAGAACAATGGTGTAACGCCGGCCGATGAGATCAGAGGTCTTACCGGATAGAAACGAGCCCACCAACGAGCACAAGTTAAGGATACCAACTAAGATCTCCACCTGGGTCGATGTGATTTCGAGGCTTTGTTTGATGAATATTATTGCTCCACTCATAACTCCAATATCTGCACATGGGTTTAGCTCAGATTGTTTCCATGGCTAAAAGCTTAGAAACTTTATATGCAATTGAAAATTTTTTTTACCAAAGAGATTAAATTGAAACTCACCATAGCCCAATAAAACAGAGTTTGTGGAGGCTAAGACAGCACAAGCCAAGGCATATCTGTTGAGGCGAGGCTTTTTGCTACAGGAATTACCGGTGGACCCACCAGTAATCCTCCATTGATGGGACTGGTCATCTTCTTCTAATTTCTGTTCAGAATCTGGAAGACCATGGTAGTAATGGTATTCTAAATTTGACTCGAGTCTCATGTTTAGAAAACAGATATATCACGAGATACCATCAAAGCGTTGAAGCAAGGGGCTAAAAGCTCAGAGAAAGTCCACCGTAAACACATAAAGATCCAAGAGTCAATAATCTCTGGGCATGTTTCTAAAAGAAAAGTGCACGTGTCTGAGCGGTTAGAAAGTTGGATGGGGAGGAAAAAGAGAGCTAGATCCCTCTGGCTTTTCTTCAAAAGGCCGCTTTTGATTGTAATAACCCTGCAACCACGCCTGTGTCCCCCCCGCGCTCGCCCCTCTAATTTTCTTTATTTTTTGTCTCTGAAAGGAGCATGTAGAAGTTAACGACCTCTTTAATCAGAACAGGACTGGAATAATTTATTCTTAATATAGTTAAAATAAATTAATTAATTAATTAAAGTACAAGAAATTAACTCGGACTGCGCAAAAAAAAAAAAAAAAAGGCAATATATATATATATATATATGTAAATATAGAACATGTAGTATTACAGGGTATTGACCCAGATGAGATGGGGTCTTGTTGCTTCCAGTCTTTTATTGCTGTCTTTTGACTCTTTCTGCTCTGCAGCTTCCCGAAAAGAAATCATGTTAAAATTGGTAATGTATAATATATTAATAGTTTATTATTAATGACAATGTGATTCTAAATTATTGTATATTAGATATACAAGATGATTTTTTAGTATTATGAAACGTCACAGTGCATAAATGAGTTATGAATTAATTGTAGTCATAAAATATCTTAATGTATATTATTGTTTTGTTTTTTCATAAATAAATTTTATAAAAATACTAACAAACGACTCCATTGCTGCAGCAGAATCTTAAGTTCCAACTAGCTGCATAAATGAGCTAAAATAATTAACAAGACCCTGCCAAATAATTGTTTATGTAGCAATTCCAATTATTAATTTTCTTTAGTGGAATTGTGTATGTGTATCTGCCAAATAAAAATATGAAGAAATAGATAAATTGGGATTGCTGTAAAATTCAAAAGTTGATAAGGGTAACATTAGCTTCATGCCTACTTCAACGGCAACGTGGCATGCATGCCACACACCCTACATCCTTTTTTTATTTATTACTATTATTTCCCAGCAAGTCATTATTAATGTTCCGTTGACCCATTTGAATTTTCAAAAGAAAAAATATCGCTATATTTTACAAGCTCTTAATCTAATAATATTGTGAAATTTGAAAAACAGGAAAAAAAAAAAAAAAAAAAAAGGCTAAACTTGTATGTATATATATGTGTGTGTATCACTATTATGTATGCATGCATGTGAGCTTCCTCTGGTTTACGTGTGATTCAAAGAAAGGTGATATCATCAATAACAGACTTGTTGTTTCATAAATGGCTTGGCTCTTTCTCTTTCTTCTAAGCTTAGTCATTGAAAACGGTGCCAGTATTTGTCGTTTTAGCATCATACACAAACCCACTGCTGAACACGTAGACACCGCCATGTTTGCGTGTCAATTTGCCTCTGAATCCACCGAATAGCCCCAAAAAACAAACGCTTCTTTCCACTTTCAGCGGTCCTACAACCAGAAGTCCCTACGACCAAAACAATAATGGTTAACTTCTCTGCATGAGTTCCATTGTTTTTTTTCTTTTTCTTGTTCGTCTATGGTATGAAGATGTGTCTCTGGTTTTTTCTCTCCTACCAAACAGGGTAAAGGAACAGAGAGTTTCGGGAAGAGGAACAAGACCCGCACTTTTTGCGTGCGTTGCAGTCCCCGCAGCTTCCATCTGCAGAAGAGTTGCTGCGCTTCCTGTGGCTCCCCCCTCCAGGCGTATCAGAAAGCGAACTATTTCGAATTTCTTCTATATCCACGGCTTTATGTTTCCTGTTTATTGGTTCTAGATGTCCTTGCATTGATGCTTGTTAATATAGATAACTGGAGCATGAAGACGATTGAGAGGAACACCACTGGGACTGGAAGGATGAGGTACCTTCGACATGTTTATGTTAGATTCAAGAGTGGCTTCAGAGAAGGTGCGCTGTTTAAATTTGATTCTTAGAAGACCTGTTTGGTTGCTAAGAAAACTGAGGAGAATGCGACAGCCTGCAACTGTTGAGGTCTTTTCCTATGTTGAGCCCAGATTTTAGTGCGCTGTTTAAATTTGTATTATTAGATGACCTGTTTGGTTGCTAAGAAAACTAAGGAGAAAGCCTAAGTTATTAACCCTGCAACTATCCAGGCCTTTTCCTATGTTAAGCCCAGCTTGTGGTTTACTTTTCTTTTCTTCTTTTTTTTTTTTTTTTGGTTTGGTCAGGCACTGAAGCAGCACAAAGGAAGAGGGGAGTTGCAACAAAAATCCAAACAATCTGTAGGCCCTTAGTTCTGTATTTCGTATAAGCGTATGTGAACATCAGCTGTGACGCATACAAGCTTTTATTTTCCAAATAAGCTGCCTTTGTTTTGCCATTAAAGATGTTTATACAATATGTACAGTAACCAATGATGCAGATCGGCCTTAAACTAATAAAGACCAGCATGAACAATCTTTTTTTCTTCCGTCAGTGAATATTTTGTTCAGATAACTTGTGCTTTATCAACATACTGAAAAACCTGAGATGCAACCTGAGAGATCCAGTTAACTGCAGTGCCAAAAAAGAGCTCCCAGAACCAGAGGTCCAAGGCAAGAACAGAGGAAAATATGAGCAAAGCCAAAGTCTGATAGCGGTTCAATGGCCAACCTGAGATTTCAGCCATTCTTTTCAGAAATGGGAGGGAGCTGCTATTCAAGTATCGGTTTCTTATGGACCAAGCCGTTACCCACTGAACCTGAGATGGGAGCAGGTCAAACTCTTCCCTTAGCCGCCGGCCAAGGTCTGGCATGTGGCCGCCACCATAGAGTATGGCAATCTTGTTGTGGCCATCCTCAATTGCTCTTCTAAGTGCTTCTGCTGCTGCTCTGTTTCTCTCGCCGATGATCACAGACCCCTCCTCTACATCTGCTGTTACCTGTGTGAACCTTCGTTCACAAGTTAAGAACCACTCGTTATTTGGTTGAGCAAACTAACGTGGGATTTTCCTCCAGTGGGACATGGCATGTTAAGAATCACTAGTTAGCTGTGTAATCTGGCAGTGGTGCCAACTAAAAGACATGGGTTTTAGGGTATTGAGTGGACAAAAAGGATTAATTTGTATAACTAAGCTTGTAGAAGGAATTAGATAACATACTCGGATGTTAATCGCTTTGCAAGGAAAACTTTCATGGCAGCGCCAAAGTCAAGCCTTGATAGGGCTTCAAACTCCGGATATTCTGATGCATGGCTTCCCACATCTGTACAGACACTGCCAATAATCAAAAGACCCACAAGTGGCATTGGAAGCACCCGGGAAGCCCACAGCAGCCTGGATCTCCAAGGATCAAGATCTTCGGGAATGGTAGCATGCTGCACCATGGCTTTGGCTGATTTTAAGGTCATATCCCTTGCAAATGAGAAGAAGCTTTCACCTTTTTCAAGCTGGAAACAGCAGGACATGGCGTCAGGTGTATTGTTCAACTATTGATCAACAAATAAACATATGACTGTTTGATTACCACCAATTTTATCAGAGTTTGTTACAGGATAAATTTTTGGAAGAGAGGAAATAAGAAGTCTTACCACATATTGTTGAATGTTTAGCAATCATTTGGGTCCAGATCAATAAAACATCAACCTTCAATTACCAGGTATAGGATAGCACAAAAATAAACAGTTCGATAAGAATACAGAGTGAAACACATGTTAATGATTCTTCAGTACCCGAGGTCAAAGCTTTTGTTGACTACAAATCAAACAATTTAAAGAGAAGAAATTGCAACTATAACCTGAAGTAACTTGAAAGTTTCATAATCAAGATCTGCGTGGTACCAATTCTCAGCCTGATAATCGAGACAATCTAATTGGAAATCAAGCATAAGTATCCAAGCCATCTGTCGCTGAATGCATCCCAAAATGTTAAAGCCTCTTGAGCGTGAACCTTTGATCCTTTTTCTAGCAGTAGGGCTTCTTCTGTTCTCTAAACTCTCCCTACTAGCCACCATCTCATAGAGGACACAATCGTAAGTTTCAAGTTCCTTCTGTAGGGTTGCAAAATACCTGGAAGGAAATTTCTTTTAATAGGGAAAAGAGCTGTAAACAAATGAATTGCCCAAACAACTGTTGTCCACAGCAAGTAGGTAGCATTTAAAAGAGCACTAGATTATTCAAATCTAGTCCACTCTCCTTATATAGACTTATGTGAATGTATTGCTGAAAGAGGGTGGCTTTTTCCAGCACCATGAAAATATAAACACCAGATACATTAGTAACCTGGTTAGGGGATTAAGGTGTCCTTTGGGAGTAAAAAGCTTCAAAATTTTACATAAATCCTTTTTAATATGGACAAACAATCAAAACAAACTAGCGACTGCCTCAATTAGATACATCTGAAAATATATTCTGAATCCTCACAGATAATGCCTCTTACAAAACATTATGTAGTCAACTTCTGCTATCAATTGCCTAAATATCACCAGAGAATAGTGTTTTCAGCGCTTCACCTTTCAATCCCTACCAATAGAATAGAGTGTCTTTCCACATGTTTTGGTTGGTTATACAATAGCATGATACAACCAAACTCTTTTTCTACATCATAGAAATCTTCATGTGGAAACAACAGAATGACCATCCTGCATTTTACATATTCATGTGTAGTCCTTGGATTTTGGAGACAGTGTAAAAAGAAGTGCTTCTTGCTATTTGACTAGTATCTATTCTAAAAAAGTCTCAAGACATTTCAAATTATATATTGACAGGGATAAAGTCAGAAAAAACCTCTAAGGTTATGTCAATATTGGATACTGGATATATAATAGTTCCAAAAGGAATCTCCTTAAAAAGATCATAATTTCTAAAATTCATGCCATTTCCTATAGTCTCATAATCACAAGATTGTATCTCTTGTTGAATTTTGTAACTTTTAGAACAATGGCCAAAAGTTGCTAATATCACACTACCAGAGTTCACAGACCACATCACGAAACATAATTACTGGCAATTTATGTTACAGAAAATTTTGAAAGGGAAAAGAATTCACCTACATCTTCCAATCAGAAATTAAAGCAATACCATCAAAAAGAAAATTGCATTTGAAAGCTCAATAAGAAAGCATACTCTTTATCTGCGATATGGATTGTTGAAACCAAATCCACCTAAACCATTAAACAAAGCAAGCAAATCTCTCAGTTGAGTCAAAAGAAAAAAAAAAAAAAAAAAAAAGAAAGCAAACAACAAAACAGGAAGATTAATACCTGGAGAAAAGGTCTCAGTAGAGACCAAGGGAACTTCTTTCTATAAGTAACAACAGCAGTCTGCAACTCGCCACTGCCCTTATCGCTTCCTCTTTTGAATCTCATGAAATCCGCTATCGAATTGTTGTGCAGAAACTGGGATGGAGAGTCATCTTCGATTAATGGACTCGAGGAAGAACCAGAGACCTTCAAAGGAGTGAATTTGAGGGGTTTTGAGAATCCAAGTTTTGAGTGCGAAAGCTTGAGAGAGCTAAGAACCGGAAGAAAAGTGACTGGGGAAGACGGGTCTGTGGTGGAATTGGAAGGAAATGAAGATGTGGAAGAAAGGATTGCAAGAGAGGTTGAGACCATGTTTGCTTCTCTCTACAGAGAGAAATGGAAGAGGATTTAGCTTTCTCTATAACCAGAAATTTATTTTGGAGAGTTTTCACTAAGAAAATCCGGTTCTGGTATTTGCGGTTACCCCAACAGCAATTTTTATTTTCATGCGCATTTTTTTCCTCTTCTTTTCTTGTTTTCTTAGATGAAATATTAGGGCATTTTTATTGTTTATTGTTTATTTTGTTTGATTTTTATATTCTTATGGGTTGCACCCTAATAAGTCCCACTAATTATTACTTTCAAGAAATTTTGATTTTGATTTATTGGGTTTGAGTAAGACAATATTATACTCGATTCCCAATTTTGAATTTGCTCATATAAAAATTTCTTCTTTTTTTTTTATTTTTCATACGTCTCTCCCAAGTTTTTGGAATGAGGTGTCAACAGAAGTCATAATCTCAACTTAGAATTATTAAGAAAATACGTTCACATGTTTAACATTAAGAGTAATTCTATTAGTATCAATTAGTTAACAAAAAATTACATTTTGTTAATATCAATCTCTACTTCACTCTTCAAACAGCTTTCTAATTATCTGATATAATAAACTTTGACAAGAAAAGAAAGTCAAAATAAAAGTTTATATCAGATAACAACAGAGCTTTGGTAATTATAGACATGTGATTATGAAATATAAAGAGTGCATGAATCCCAATATGGAAATTACCTATTTGTTTATTCAACTCCAAGACCAAGATACATAATAAATCAAATACGGATCAACCTAATTAATTATTGACTTACAGAGCAGATACACACTAGACCTGCGGACCAATTGTTTTGGACAAAGAATCACAGAGCCCTTAAAATCTCTTGTAAGTTATCAATCAATTTAATGGACGGATGAGAAGAATCAGGGTCACACCCCTTGGCTGCTTAAGGACAATATTAAATGAACCTGGCTACAAAAAACAATCTCCTAAGATTTTGAACCCACCAAGCTTTCGGCAACTTGCAACTGAACCCATGTTGAAACTGAGAAAAGATGAATAGAAAAAAGATGTTGCTTTCTAGCTTTAATTAAATGGAAGTTACCATGTTGATGAGTTAATACAAGCTTTTCCTTCCAGATCTTAACGAGGGCCTCTCATTGCGTAAGAAGTTGGAGACCTGCTTCTAAATCCTCTAAGGTAATTGTTCGCAGCTCATCTGCATCTATACAATCAAAACTGAGTCGAATATCTAGGTTCTCCCTGGCGTTGACAAGGGTTGGGTCCACTAAACCTCCATTCATCTCCTTTCGCTGCTTCTCAGTTGTTTTTCTCTGTATCAATGATGCAATGGCATCCACATTGCAAGACGAATGTAACTTGAATCCATACAACAAGCTATCCTCTGTTAGATTATTCATCTTGATAAGGAGGATATTGGCTAGCTCTTCAGAATTGAAGTCGGTAAAATGGAAAAACTTTGTTACTCTTCTGCAGAAGCCTTCATTAGAAGCAATTACACGCTTCATTGGCTCACTATAGCCAGCAAATATGACGACAACTTTTCCACTGTCCATCACAGACATGATCTCCTCCAAGGCTTCCAAACCGTAGTCCTTGTCATCTGCTTTCTGCATGGGTATTAACCGATATGCTTCATCCACAAAAAGGATTCCTCCCTCAGCTTCTTTTATCTGCACATAATAGTTCTAAGTTTTAGTTTTCTTTATTATCAGAATCAAACAAGCACATTCTACACCCAGAAAATGAGACTCAAGTTTCGGTTTGTCCAGATTAGTGGCATCACCTTTCTTCTTGTCTTTGGTCCAGTGTGACCAACAAATTCACCCACCAAATCTGTCCGCTGCACTTCCGTTACCTTGTCAGTAGGTAAAATTCCAACCATATGGAGCAACTTTCCAAGAACTCGAGCCACCATAGTCTTGCCTGAAAGGGAGAGGAGAAAATAGAGTTATGGTTTCTGATAAGGACAAGATACTTATTATTTGACAGCCCAAAGTGAATGTTGGAGCTCAGTAATGGAAATTTATAGCATACTGATGACATAAAAGAAAATTACGATCCGGAAAAAACTGCCAATTAGTTACCTGTTCCAGGATTGCCTAGGAATGCCATATGAGGAGGTCTTCTAGCACCAACATTTAGCCCAAGGGCCCTTCGCCTCTCATCCATAAGCATCCCCTTGGCCCATTTCCGAAGTTGTGCCTTGAGATCATGCAACCCCACAATCTTTGATAGTTCTTTTTCAAGCTGATCCATCTTAGCTTGTGTCTCACTGCATGCTTCGAGCGCTTTTCTTTTCCTCTGCTCTTCCAGATGCCTGTGAAGTAGTTCTTGCAACTTTTTACTTCCCGGTCCTTTAGATAGATGATTTAAAGGAGTCATTCCTTCCTGCACCCAAGGATTATAATAACGACAATCAGCATGTAGCACGACAGAATAGTTAAGAAGATATAAGAATAAACCAAGTAATTGCAAAGTAGTACATTGTCCTTAGCACTGCAATCAGCATTGTTCTCGAGCAGTGTCTTGACAGTTGAGCAGTCTTCAGATCGAATTGAGTACCAAACAGCAAGGTGTAATGGTGTCATGCCATTCTACAAAAAGAAAAAAACAGAAAGAAAGATACCCATTAAAATTGCACTTCACAACCCAGTAATCATAGACAGTTTAAGAAGAAAACAAAAAATAAAATTCCAAGGAACACACATTAGCTTTGGCTTCAACAAAAGCACCATGGGCAAGAAGTAGCCGTGCAGCTTCATTGCACCCATTCTTGGCTGCCATGTGTAATGGAGTTTCCCCATACTGCATAAGGGTGAAAGATTAACAGCCAAAAGAGAAGACCAAACACATCATTTAAAAGGGCAACAACTATATATATATATATATATATAATGAGAAATTCCATGTAGACAAAATTAGCCTACCATGTTCTTGGCTTCCAATTCAACTTTTTCTGATCCTGGATGGTCAAGCAGAAACTTGACTATTTCAACCTGGTTGTAGCCAGCAGAAACATGAAGTGGTGTCTGTGCCATCTGCATTTAACCAAAACAATGCGCATAAATAAAATGGAAGAGAGACATCTTACTCAAGTTATGCTTTCTTAGTCATGTACATAGAGAGAAAACCTAATAATGAAAAAGTAAGAGGTTAATAATGTCAAGCCCTTCTGGAACAGTAACTAAGAAGCTCAAAAAATAATGTGGTAGAGCATGAATGACATTATTATCACAAATTCGGAAGTAATGAAAAGGAAAATTACGATGATAGAAAGATCGGAAGAAAAAGTAATAACAAGCACAGACTCAAAATCTAAAATGTTTAACAGCTTGATGGTGGCAGTATATCCGATCTAAATGAAGTTGAACAAATTTCAGAAGCTACGGTGATTGCAGCTAAAGAGATTTTCCCCATCTTTTTAGATTTCTTCAATTTCTCTCCTTGCTTCCATCTTCTAAATGATCAATTCAGAAGTAGGTTGGCTGTCAAATCGGGCAAATTTTTCTTAGAATCCTTTCAGTCATCATATATGCATACACTGTATCACATTGGTTGTGTTAGTCAACCAAAGCTCATTTCAACTCTTAGTTTTAATACGCATAATTAAATCATTTTTTTTGTCACAATCCCAATTCGAATTCCTTCCGTCGGAATTCAACTCCCACCAGCTTAACTAGAAACAGAAAAAGTAAAAGCCAAAAGTTTTAATATTGATGTAGGCAGTTTAGATCCAATTCAACAGACTAACAAACTTAACCATAGCTCTGTTTATGTCAATGGCCACAATCAAACAATTTAAACCCATTAGTACAACAAACCCAACTCAACATGAGTCATGTATAAAATTAAAATCTGAGCAGACAGTAGAAAAGCCGTCAAAGAAAATCCCTTCCCCACAATCCTTCAAAATGATGGGCGTAAAAGGAACTGATGATTCAACAATGCGGAAAGACAAAAGTACATGCAAAAAGAGCAGAGAGAATGAGATAATACCACAGGGTTCCTCTCGTTAAGAAGAGCTGGGTTGTCTCTGAGTAGTCTCTGGAAGAGCGGGAGATCTCCGGACTGCGCGCAGCCGTGAATTGTGGTAGGTTTGGCAGATCTTGAGCGTTGATCCTGGTGCTTATTCATTGCCCTCTGTTGGGTGGTGGTTCCCTCTCTCTACAGGGAGATAAATTACGCAAGAGAGAAAATGTAGAGAGAGAGAAGAGAGGGAAAGAATCTGGGGAGAAAAGATTGTTCAAAGTGAGTCGTGTTCGGCCGGGGGAGAATTTAAACAATGGAGGAGGAAGAGAAATGAGAGTACCCCCGCGTCCGGCTGCGTCGTCCGAAGTCAGAAGCTTCTTCTTAAACCGCTTTTTTCTGGGGTGGGGTCAATTTCTTTGCGGCCTGTGATTTCCATCTCGTGAGAAGACGATTTTACCCCTACTACATTACTTTAAGAAAAAGGAAACCAGTGGCTAGCTGTTGCCCGCTATTTTTAGTTTCCAAAACGGGTAGAAATTATCAATTTCCCCATATTATACAAATAACTATTTATGCACTGTAACGCGTTTTAAATTCTTAACAATTATGTCAGATTATTTAAAATTTAAAGCTTATTATAATTTAATATCAGATGCATTTTATTTGTTTGGAACGCTAATTTTTTTAACCAAAATTTTTTTTTTTGAAGAAAGAGTTAAAAAATGACTTAACTAAAACTTAAATATACTAAAGTATTTTTATTCACTGCAACTGATATTTGTACTTGTATAATAAAAGTATTTTTTTTGTATAACATAAATATGATATATTTTACTCAAAAGGTGTAACGGCCCAGAATTTGAAATGAAATAAATTATAAATTAAATGTGGAAGTGAAATAATAGCATTAGGGTTTACATTCCTTACACAATAATTCAGAATAGCCAATACGATTACGAAAATGATCATTCTAAAAGAATAACGAATAATTAAAGAAATAAATGAAAAATAAACAACTGAACATTCTATTCGCAACCCTCTTGTGGATCGTGATCTGGATTTTGATCATCTTGATCTGAAATGGTTAATAAAAGAGTGAGATATATTAAACTAGTAAGAATGTCACACTACTCACTAATACAGAAATGAAGATTAGTAAAAATTATGAAAACAACTAATTGAGCTTTTAATTTAAATAAATTCATTTAACGTAAGTAAAATCATTCATTGTACACTTACCGTAATAAAATTTCTAAAACTGACCTATAAAGGCAATAGCATAAATAATATTATAATCTCATATTCAATTAAGCAGAACAACAATTTTCTTTTTTTACCTGTTTACTGGTATCCATGGGGGCTCATAGAGATGTTCCCACAACGTGTGAATCTTTATTCAACATTTTCAAGTAACCGGTCATCCCCATACCCCATTTAGTATCAGTGCCAAAAAAATCATCACTCAATACCCTGTCCGGTATGAGTGTCAAAATACCAATCATCCATACCCCAGGTATGAGATAACGTTCACGGTAGGGTTTCCTACGTACCCGATCCATCCACCATATCCCAGGATATCTAGTAAGGCTACCATTCATTCACTTACTTAATCAAACAATTTTTCGTTTACATTTAATTTTTAGTTTCACAATTTAATTGTAAATCACACAAAATAAGCAATACATGCATCAAGTAAGCACAACTGAATTATCATACCAACTCTAGTGTAATATTATGTATTTGAAACAGTAAAATCAATCAAACAGGATTAACAGTAAATAATAATCAGTTCTGCCTCAATTAGTAACCTATGATTAATTATTAAGATTTTCTAAGTTGTATAAAATACCACATTATTTATAATTAAACTTCAATTCTATAACAAGGAATAGGGTGAGAGATTATTCGAATCGATGTTCGAAACACTAAGCTTTCAAGTACCTAGAAATACCACAAAAAAAATCCAAAATCAGTGTTAGAAAACCTCTCTAGCCAATTTTGGGATTCTGGCACAGCACGACACCATCGGATTTTGCCCGCGGTTTATGGCTCATCCGCCGGTTCTTTTATTCCAATTTGGCCATAAGAGTGTTCAAAATTAAATTTTGAGCGATTGGGAAAGTTTTTTACCTTTTTTGGAAATTGGAGGTGGCTCCGACACGGCGACGGTTGACTCCCTTCCCAGTGACTGGTTCTTCTTCTCCGGCGAGAGGAC